ATCTTGGGGTAGGTTCCTCAAGGTCGTGTATTCCTCCAACTGCCCTGCACTGCCATCTGGCCTGGAAGGAAAGTCATTCTCTCACGTGTTTGGCACCAACACCTCCTTGACCGAGCTCTTCCTTATCAAGAGGCGTATCATGGGCCCATGCTGGATTCAGATAAGCTCAGGGTCTTTCAACCCCTCTACGAGTGAGTCTCCCCTAGTCTGCGACCATTGATGTGCATCGCTCCGCCTCAGCACTGAACAAGCTATCCTGGTGCGCTCGGGAAGTGATGGTAGAGACAGGGACAAAGGGCATTTCTGTGGTAACTGCTATCAGTCGTATTAGTTCAGTACATAGATTTAGGTGGCTGCTGATTCGACACCCCCGCCGCCGCCTCTATCGATAATGAGTCTGTCCATTAAGACTAACACGATGAAGGCAAGCAAGGCGCCAACCGGAAAGGGTGGTAGTGGTATTTTGAGTACGTTCGTGGAGGTCTGGTATGGTAGGTCGGTCGACGGCAGCTGCAGCAGCAGCTACGGCCCAGCACGAGGTAGCGGTTGTGGCTTACTACCATAATCCTACTCTTGATGTTGATGAGGCCAGCGAGGAATGTCTAAGACGGGGTGGGTGTTCCCTGCGGGATGTTTGTTACAGTTGGTTCGTATGGAAGGTATGCAGACGTTCATGGCAGTAACGAAGATGGACGGCGTCACTTTCCCTAAAGGGACTCTGGCTAAGGCAAGTAGCTGCGGTCTGGCGGGAGTTGCATTGTTCTCATGCAGAATGTTGTGGTGGAGTCGAGTGAACGTGCCTTGTTGAGCCATCTTGCGGCCATGGTCACGAGGGCAGATCCTGATATCATATTGGGCCATAACATGTAAGGGTACTCCTGTTGCTTGCAGGGCTCATTGGGTGGGACCGCAGATTTGGTTTCGGGCTGGACATTCTGGCCCAAAGAATGCAGCATCACAAACTCCCAGCATGGCACAAATTCAGCCGTCTCAAGAGGTGAGGCGTTGGGGTGGTGGGAAGGCTCATCACCTTATGCGCTGTCAGGCCGACAGGGCATCTACCTTTTGGTCATGGCAGCAAGAAGAGGGATGGTAGAGGCAACGCTGGTGGAGGCAGCCTTTGGTTGGGACGGAGTCTCACAGCGGGCCGACTTGTGTGTGATACGTACTTGAGCGCCAGAGAGTATATGAGGATGACTACGTACGATCTGGGTAGTCTGTCGATGAAGCTACTGAAGGTAAGGCCGGTCTGGCGCGAGTGACAGTGACAGTGTTCTGTTCATTGTCAGACTGCACGTGCCCCTGTATCGCTGGACTCGCTGGTGAAGTTCTACGAGGATCCTAGGGCGTTGTCAGCCCTAGCTGAGCATACGCTTACTGATGCAGTATTGCAACTACGGGTCGGCTGGGCCCTGCAGGTAGATTTGGAGGGCTCCTTGCTTCCGTGCTTGGCGAGTAGGTCCTGTCGTTGACGAGGCAACTGACCAATCTGGCGGGGAATCTGTGGAGTCACTCACTGCAGAACAAACGGGCTGAGAGGAATGAAATCCTCCTTGTGCACGAGTTCCATAGGTAAACTGGTTCGGTTGTTCGTGCGTGCATCCAGTGAGGAGGCTCGAATGAGTTCCGAGGGGAATTCGGTAGTTACTTATTGTATCAGGAAGAAGTTCATCGTCCCTGACAAGGAGAGACCGGGTGATCGGAAGAGCCACCAAGTTGATGTCTTTGATGAAAATGGGGATACTAAGGCGGCTACTGCCGGGCCTCGGAGGAAGAAAGCGGCGTAGGTCATCAGGTCTGGTACGGTCGGTGTAGGTGTGAGTTCAGGTATGCCGGTGGTCTAGTGCTCGAACCGAAAGCGGGCCTCTATGACAAGTTGGTGCTACTCCTTGATTTCAACTCCTTGTATCCATCCATTATTAGAGAATATAATATCTGTTTCACGACAGTGGAGCGGTAAGGATTGCGGTCCTGCGGGGCCTGTTTATGGTGGTCTCAGGCTGGATGCCCACGACTCGGCCCTTGAAGAGAACGCTGGGGCTATCCCCGAGCTCCCCAAGAGAGCCCCGGGTGAGGGAGACGCTATATTGCCGCAAGTGATCACTCGGTTGGTTGAGAGTAGGAAGGATGTTAAGAAACTTCTTAAGACATGTAGGGTTGCTGATTTTGCTGTTTCGATGGGTGTAGAGTCCTATCAGGTAGCAACCCTAAGACTGGTAATCAATTGGATATCCGACAGAAGGCATTGAAGCTTACAGCCAACAGCATGTACGGCTGTCTTGGATTCTCCAATAGTCGCTTTTACGCTAAGCCTATCGCTGCCCTCATTACACGAACAGGAAGGGAAACTTTGCAGGTTAGTGGAGAATCGTAATTGCTTATGGCGCTGTTATCGATTTTGTATTGGAATTAGGCAACAGTGGACATAGTAGAGAACCAACTACGGCTTGACGTGGTGTATGGTGATACGGATTCTATTTTCGTTCATACTGGTGGGTTGGGGGGTTTCTGGGTATGCAGGATTTCGGGGTGGTAGGGACGGAAGCCTTCGACCAGGCCATGCGTATCGGCGCGCAGATCATGGCTGAGATCAACAAACGCTATAAGAAACTCGAGCTTGATGTTGATGGTGTTTTCAAGAGGCTTCTGTTGCTGAAGAAAAAGAAGTGAGACGAGTTGTCGGTGACGAGTGATTCGAAAAGTTGATGCAGGTACGCTGGGGTGAAGGTCATTGATTGGGCTCAGGGCATTGCCGAGAAGGAGTACAAAGGTCTAGACCTTGTGAGGCGAGACTGGTGCCCTCTCTCTAAGAAGATGGGCGATGAGGTGGGGTTGTAAGGATATGTTCTTTTAAGAGGAGGCATGTTTTCAACAGTGTTGGAATGTGTGTTTGGTCCTCTTAAGCTGAGCTTAGAAGTTCCCTCACTGAATTTGGACATACTTTAGGGTGGAGGTATACAGAATCCAACATTTTTTTCCAAAGAAATTCTCAGAATTTTCAGATTGTCACAACGACACGTAGCTGTTTACTTGTTGTCTATGAGTGGAAGGTTGGTGTCTGCCCGTGTAGGTCCTACGATGCTTGTTGGGTCTTCGCGCTGAATCGCCAACCCCTGCATCGTCTGATAACGGTTTAGCGGATGTCGATCGATCGGCTCAGGAAGCGGAGCATGTGGTGGAATGGCTGCACGATTATGTGAAGAGCATCAGCCTGAAGATGGATAACGATGAAGTGACGAACCGACTTGGGATTTCCTTGGATCAGTCAGTGGGTATCAGATACCTCTGGAAGACTATGTTATCACCAAAGCCCTGACGAAGATGCCGGCTGATTACCCAGATGCCAAGAGCCAGGTAGGAAGAGTCGTCTCATGGGTCGTGCACATGCGTGCAAATTGAGGGGTAGTTTTTTGACCACATTTACGTATCTCGAGGCACATGTGATGGTGGCGAAAAGTATGATGGAGAGCGGCCATGTGATTCGGCCCGGCAATGAGATACCGTATGTTATCACCCGTCTTGTGGAGTCGGCGACGAAGGCAGACGCCGATGGTGACTCCGACACGAAACCAGCGACTCTGGGCAACGGTGGGTATTTCGAACCTGGTTCTGTTCAGTTGTGTGTATGATTAGATTCACAATCGGTCGCTGCGAGGGCTCGCAGTCCTGATGAGGTTAGGAAGTTGGGGTCATCTGTGATACAGATAGACACACAATGGTAGGGTTTATAGATAGCGTCTGCTGTTGAGGACGCCTTTGCGTTGGCGGCAGCCATTAATCGAAGCTCGTTATCAGGTATAAATCCCACCAAATTCATCCACCTCTAGTGCGGCTATGTGCTCCAGTGAGCGGCACGGACGCGGCCCACTTGGCGGAGTGCCTTGGATTGGACCCTAGCAAGTTCGCATCAATTGGGATGAGCAACAATAGTGAGATCGATACGGTTCCTAGTGGAGTAGATAGGCATTTTGGTCAGATGCGGGGGATGGCGATGATATTGAGGCGGTGATGGCCTCATTGTCACAGAACATAGACATCGACACGAAGTATTCTGATGCGAGAAAGTTCCTTGCGGGAAGTGCAAGACAGTATAAATGCCATAAGTGCAAGACAGGTATAGTAGGATCATGGAAAGCTAGGCAGAAGGTTTGTCTTTTCCATCATCAGTGTGCCATATTGCGGACGCTATCAAACAGAAGGAGTGCGTGAAGTGCTCGGCGGAGATATCGTCGGCGCTGATTCGCAACCTGTTGACACTGGTGAGGCGTAGATGACTGTTTGCCTGCCAAGTGAATGTGTCATGGCATGTTGCTGTATCGGTGTAGATACTACGAAAGGTCACGAGAGAGGCCGGGCTAGGCTGGGTCCGCTGCGACGATGAGGGCTGTGGAAGAGTAACCCGTCAGTTGCCCCTTGGTACGCCTCACTGACCATCACTGTGTCCACGGTGTCACCTCATCACATTCATTCAGGCACATCTCGATGTCCGTTTGGAGGATGCCGTGGTAAACTGCAGCAGCTACCGGCACATACTAATAGAGCTGTGCATGAGGTGGGTTTGGTGAGTGCACCTGGCGGGGGCGTGAATGTCGAGCAGGTTCTATCCTATCTTCGAGAGCTGACTGCAAAGCATCGACCAGAGTGTGAGAGTATCCCTGCCCAATACTTGTCTATGAATGCTTATGATGTTATTAATATAACAGCGTTATTCTCTATGTTCGCGAGGGGTGGCTAGGTGCTGGAGTAGTAGCTTTCATGGTTTCCTATTATCTGAATAATAATACAGTGCATGTCTGTCATAACGATGATGTTGTGTTGGTAATTAGAGTGGATAGCCATTGACGTGGAATCTTCAAGTGGGCGCTTGTCGCCACTGCTATTCATTCGACTGTGTCGCCGTTCGGGCGTCGGTGTTCTGGCTATAGCAGTGAACTTGAGAATGAAATCATCAACTGTCCGGTAAGGCGTTTCTCCGTTGGTCGGGTTTCAGACCGTCCAGGGAGTTCAGCTCACTGGCGACAAGGCAATATGATTCACAATCATTGTGTTCCTCCTGACCCTTCTAGCGACTATAAGACTTGGGATTGATCTTATTAATAGTGTGGATGTCAGCTGTCTTTCATCCCTCCATCTGTGTTCAGTTGTGTCGTTCTTGTTGAGCGGTTATGGAACTCCGCACTTACCAACTTGAGGTTCTCGCCAAGATACGGGAGTTCAAGTCGACGGTGGCCTTCATGCCGACAGGCTCGGGGAAAACCCTGGTAGCTGTCTGGCTACTGCGTGAGCGGATAGCACTGCAACAGAGGGATGTTGCCGATGGGCAGGCCAAGAAGGTATGTGTCTTCAGCGCGCCCAACAAGGTCCTATGCCACCAGCAAGCTGACTACATTGGCAGTAACATTGGCGATGACCAGAGGTGCAGGATACGCGTCCTTACTGGCGAGACTCCGAGGATTGACAATTGGTGCGGTACGGAGTGGAAAGATATTTTGGCAAGTGTCGAAGTGATCGTCTGCGTGCCGGAAATCCTTCGCCGTGCGCTGGCTTGTAATTTTGTGGACTCTAATTTGATCGACACGTTAATTTTCGATGAGTGTCACCACTGTGTGTCCAAGAAGGGCGTTAGCAGCGGGCACCCTTATTGTCAGCTCGCCCAGTTGGCCAGGGGTGCTCGGAAGTATGTTGGGCTCACAGCGAGTCCTATCAATTGCAAGAAAGTTGATGTTAAGAAGAATATGCAGCAGTTGAAGACGGTGCTTTCCTTGAATGGTGAATGTGAGATAGTGAGGCCGTCGGCTACTCTGGCAGAGCTGCAGGAATATGTCCACACGCCCGAACCCCAATTGGAGTTGTATGCATCCCCTGTCTATCGCCCGAATTGTGATCGATTCGATGATTGCAAGGCAAAGGGACAGAGATTGCACGACCTCATGTGTGGAGCATATAAACGCGTGTCGTGGCTCGACGAGTACTGTGCGATACGGAAGTCACTGAGGCATGTTGACGCGAACTACACCGCTGTGGTGGGGTTGGTCAGTGCTAACCTCATGGATCTACCACACAATGAGGTCTCCTATTACTGCGAGTTGCTGGGCCAGCTGGGGAAAGTTTTACACGAGGTCGGGGGGATCTGAACTGCCGAGTTTGAAGTGTTCTTTTCAGGGTGGTAGTCGCGCTGCACTGCATGCGTTGAAGTACATCTGCCGTACGCATGATGAGATCCTTGAGGATTACGCCCTTCCTGAACTCTACAACCAGGCAGAAGGGAAGATTGAACCTGGCCGATTGAAGGTGGGTGACTTGGGAAGTAGATGCACTCTAATGCTCTCACTCTTAGTTCCGTATCAAAAGGCTTGAGGAGCACGTTGCGGAGTTCCCACTATGGCCTGGTACGATGGCCAACGCTGTGAGGCAGTCTCTGTGGGAGGCCTGCGAGGCCATCTGTGTATATGGTGGTCTGGAGCTCGTCGAAGTAGCTGGCAACATCGACATCCCCGGTGTTAGTCTTGAGGACCTCAAGCGCTACATCACGGAAACCTTCGTACCAAGACTACTGGGCATGGCTGTTGACGCTGACAAGCTGTTGAAACTCCGTTCGGTGTTGCAGCTCGACGATCTGGCCCATTCGAAGTACTCTGCGACCATAGTGTTCGTCGGCGAGAGGCTGATGGCGCGTGCGTTGGCGGCTACCTTGAATTTGAGATACTGTGTTGGTGGTAACGGAGAGCGAGTAAGCAAGCAGACTGAGGCTTTGGAGTGGTTCAAGGATACGGCCGAGGAGGGCTCTCAGCGTGCTGTGCTTATCGCAACCTCGGTCTGTGACGAAGGTGTTGATGTTCCTATATGTGACTGTGTTGTGATGTGGGACGTGCCCCCGAACGTTCGCAGTTTCATTCAGCGTCGTGGACGGGCGCGCAAGATCAGGCCGACGAAATCTGAGCTCATCGTTCTGGTTGAGGCCTCGAACTTCGCCGTGACCAAGCCAACGAGAGTTTGAGAGAGTATCAGCGGCAGAAGCTCAGATGGCCACTTTGGCCGACTGCTGGGAAGACGGCATTGATTCAGCTGATGACGATTCAGACAGCGAAATCCAACCCAGAGTCGTTATCGGTCGAGAAG